TATTTTCTCGGTTAATTTAATAAATTGATAATAATAATAAATATTAATAGAGTCGATGCAGGACTCTCTAGAACGAATAATAATTAATAAAAAAAAAATCGATTTTTTATAAATTACATAACTAATAATTTATTCTTAATAAAAAAAAAAAAAAAAGAAAATTACGAGTGCTTGCGAGGAGTCACGACGATAATTAAATTATAATTAAATATAAAAAAAAAAAAAAAAAGAAAAATATTTAAATGGAACATCGGTTGATACTTGGAGGTGGAGGGTCGCACGCGGTTAAGCGCAAGCACAAAACGCGCCACCGCTTAATAAATATACATACAGTGCTATATTGCATGTCAGTTAAAATTAGCGATCAAATACAGGTTTTATTAGATTTTTTTTTTTTTAAAATATATATATATATATATAGCGTTTTAAGGTTAGGCTAGGCAGACATGCGGGCTGACCTATGAGAGGAATGGCGTCGGAACTCTGGGGCAAAACTTGGGCCTCGAGGAGTGCTACAACAACTAGAGACAGCAGGATTGTAACACCTGGAACAAACATAACATCAGAGTGTCTACATGCACTTATAAATTAATCAAATATCTCACATAATTTTTTTAATATTTTGTTATTTCATCTTCTTCTTCTTTTTTTTTTAAAATAATAAATGTTAAGTTCATGTATACACTCTAGAAAATATTACTAATTGGCAAACCAGAATAAAAAAAAACTGGTTTTAAAATTTTATTTATTTACTTATTTTCTTTCACGTATAATCTAAAGTTATTATTATTATTTTTTTTTTATTTTTTACATATAAGTATTTTAAAGGAAGGTATTTTTTTTAAAAAAATTTTGTGTGTGTTTGTGTGTGTGTGATCTCCCTCCAACTGTCCAAGTATCACTGGTTAAAAGACGATCCTCGCCCCCGGTTTCAAGCAAGCAGTAAAATTGATGGGAGGCGAACTCGGACATTGCTGGACCCCGCCGCCCGCCATTTTACAGCTTGCTCACTCACGCGGCAGCTCTTTTGGTGGGCGACGAGGAGGGATGCACACGAAATCCCTTTCTTCCTTCATGCCAAGGGGGGCACTGTGTGTGTTGAGCATTAAAAACAAAGACAATGACCAAAATTATATTTTGTTTGAGCTTTCTACGTCAATATTAAATAATTATATATATATATATATATATACACGTATATATATATATGATAAGGTAATAAATTATTATGTTATTAAAAATTTACAACCAGACTGTAAAAAAAAAAAAAAAAAATATTTAAAAAAAATATAAAAAAGTAATAATAATAATAATAATAATTAAAAAACAATAAATTAAATAAAAGCCCAAACAAATCATCACAACAAAACACAAACCGCTCAAAACTACAATAAATTACCCCCAGAACATAGCAGGCAAATGGGGGTGTCACAGGCAAGAGCTGCTATTCTACCTAACAGAGGGATCGCATCGGAGACTTGAGGAAGGGTCTCTGCAACGAGGTTGAGGAAGACGGTCAACGATAGCAAGATGGTCACGCCTGAAACAGAAGCCACAGCGTAAGATAATAATCATTCCACAGCGGGATGGCAAACAAGACAAATATTATTATTATTAATATGTAATTAGTATTCGACGAAATGTTGACGAAAATTTAAGGACTCGCTGAAATCGAATATAGATATATATATACACATGTGTATATCTATCTATATATATATATATATTTAGGAGCCTACGTAACAACCGTCCTGTCTCCAAGTATCATCGACGTCACGAAACGTTATCCAAGCTCCTACCTATCAATGGGACGGCGTCAGAAGTTGTTGGCATCTTTTCCGCGACTAAATTGAGAAATACAGTCAATGAAAGGAGTATTGTTACCCCTGAAACCATTTTAAAAACAATATAAAAGCAAAATAATACAAAAATAACGCAACGAATAACGTTTTCAAATTATTTTTTCAAAACCTTTCTCCGATCGATGTTCAAAATGAAAAACAAGGTTTTATAACCTCGTCGAGTCTTTCATCAGAGTCTCTAAAACTTTTCAAATAAATCAACGAGGATTATTTATTAAATGCATGGGAAACATTTATTTAAAAATCACATTGCAGCTCTAAATTAATATGTAAAATTTTTTTATTACAAAAATTTATAAGGAACGAAAAGGGGGTGGAGAGTAGGGCCGGGGATTAAGAAAACTCGTAGCATTTTTTTTTTTTTTTTGTTAATGGAAGAGAACCTGTAAAAATTCAAATAGATTTTAAAATTATTTATTACTTTAATCATTTGTAAAATTTAAATTTTTTAAAAGACCCAGTCATTAACGAAAAAAAATTTTCCCTTTTTTAAATAAGATTTGAAAATTTATGTATGTGATGGTGAAAAAAAAAAAAATTCAATTATTTCCAACGCATCTGTAATAAATAACGTAATAATTAATGATAATAATAATAATAATAATAAACAAATTTTTCCTTAAGGATAAATTTTAAGGCATTAAATTATAAAAATTGTGTGTAAATTTTATTTTTGTGTGTTAAATTCATTAATTCGTTACGATTGTTTGTAACTCTGAGTGTTAGAAACATCGTTATTTAATTATTATCATCATTATTAATTTATACATAACTTATTTATTTTTAAATAAGTAAAATAAGAATTTAATGTAAATATTTGTTACGTGTAAAATGAAAAATAAGTTTTATATTATTTAAAAAAGCGCAAAAACTTTTTTTTTTTTAAAAAGAAGGGAAACTTTTCTTTTTTGTGTCAACATGATGATGATGATGATGATGATAAATAAATTGATTTTCTTCAAGAAAACTTATTTAGAGAAGCAATAATAAACTTACAAAACAAATATAAAATATTTTAATTCGTGGGAGAAAAAAAGAAAGAAAAGCAGTAAGTAAAAATATTATTCATTCACAAGATGAATTACACGAATAATACGAGTGATAAAACAAGGGATGAAATGAATAAAGGGATGAAGGTGAATAATAATTAATTGACGCCGAAAAAGAAAAAAAAATGATGAAGGATTTTCTATTCAACAGAAAAAAAAAAAAAAAATGATCTGCAAAAAAATAAAAAATCAGAATAAAAGCAAAAAAAAAAAAAATGAAGAGAGAGAGAGGGAGAGAGAGAGAAAGGACTGAAAATAAATTTGAAGCTTTTTTTTTTTGTCATTCATTCCCTCTCTTTCTAATTGCCTTGGATGAAAACTTTTCTTTTTTATAAAAAAAAAAAGAGAGAGTAATTTATGATTTTTTAATTTCGATATTAAAGTTCATTCATTTTAAATTATGTTAAATTGTTTTACGATTTTTTTTTTTTAAGAAATAATAATAATAATTAACTTCCGTCACGGCTACCAATTTTTCAAAAAAAAAAAAAAAAAAAAGATACGGATACGTTAATACGTTAAAACATTATTATTATTAAAAATAAAATTCTTTTATAAAGTCAAACCGTGTTATATACGGGTGAGGTTTTAAATTTATATAAAATCTTTCACGTTTATGACAGGTTGTAAAATGTCTTGGAATTTATTTATTTATTTATTTGTTTTGTTTTGTTTTTTACCTAATGTAAGCTTTTCCCCTGAGTCTGGAGGCAATGTGAAACCCAAGAGTGCCATAGAGCTGATGAGAACGCAAGGCACGATCAAATTGAAGAAGTAGTAAAGAGTTCTTCTTCTAATCTGGATCGTAAACGTGACATCCACATAGGGCTCTGGACAACATTGATAAACAATTGTGTTCTTTTTTCCAGGCATCCCTGAAATATTATATATATATATATATATATAAACATTATCCAGTTATTTTACAACGTAATAAAAAAAAAAAAAAAATTTCCTTTTTTTCGCATCGCATTGCATCGCACAATGGATAAAAACTCGTCAAAAAAAAAAAAAAGTTTTCCTTGTTTTTTTATTTATTTTACTTTTTTTATAAAATTTAATCTTTTTTTTCTTTTTATCATTTTTACTTATCTATAATAAATTTAAAAATAAAAAAAGGTTTAAGAACGTACCTAAAAGATACCATTCACCGTTGGTGATAAAATCTGAAAGGTCACCACCGCCTTCTTCAGATTTAAGAATCAAATCCAACTAAAAAAAAAAAATTAATGACGCCATTAAAATCACGTTGTTATTATAATTTTTAAACACTTTAATAATATAAAATATTATTATTATTATTATTAAACGGAATGAAAACATTTAAACCGGAAATGGAGAAATTTTCTTACCAATTAACAAACGAAAAAATTATTCTCAGATATAAAAAGTATTTGTAACAATTCGAAAGAGGAAGTTTAAACATTCGTTTATATTATTATTATTATTATTATTATTATTATTATTTATTAATTTTTTATTATTATTTTTTAATTGGTGAATTAATAAACTTTATGGAAAAGTTATGTAAATAAATTTTTTCAATTTTTTTTTCTTATTTAAAATAAACAATAACGAGAAAACAAAAAAAAAAAAACATCGAAAGTGTGTGGTTGTTGTAATTTATGTTTTTTTTTTTTATTAAAACAAATATTATTATTATTATTATATTTTAATAATTGAATTTTAAAAGAAATAATTTTTGTTTGTTTGTTTGTTTTTTAAGTAAAAAAAAAAAAAAAGAAAGAAAGAAATAATTTTTAATGGAATAAGCTTTCTTTTTTTTTTTTTTCCCTTTACAAAAAAAACCGCAAAAAATTATTATTATTATTATTACAAGTTCAACCGAGTGAAAAAAAATATACAAATTATTATTATTATTATAACGGTATTTTTTATTAATAAAAAAAAAAAAAAAATTTATTATGCGAATTGAAAAAAAAAAGAAAAAAATGGGAGTTAAATTTTATTTGAATTTATAATGTATTTTTCCTTTTTACGAATGAATAATTCGCTAAAATCTTTTTTTTTTTTCCTGTGTGTGTGTGTTTGTTTTGTGATACGATGGTAAAAAAAAGAAAATGGTGGAAAAATATAATAATAATAATAATAAATGTATTAAATGTAAAATAATTTTTTTTTTTAATGTGTGGTTTTATTAAACACACCACAATCAATTTCTGATAGGGGAAAACAAAAATTACGTGAGAGGAATTATAAACTAAATAATTTTTTTTTCCAGGATGTAAAAATATTATTAACACGTGATCATCAACCGTCCAGTCTCAGACTGGAGAAAGAAAATAAAAAAAAACTTACCTGACTACCGTCGTACGTCCAGCTTCCAAATTTCATATCACAATGTTGATCGTCGAACGGAAACCATGTTATGTCCATTTTACACGTGCTTTTAAATATTCCCGGAGGAACGTATAAGCATCGTCCGTCGTGTCGAACGACAACATTTGTATGATAAGTTCCATCGAACCCTTCGTCGGCACTAAAAATAATAATAATTATTATTATTATCATCATCATCATCACTCACAGGTAAATGAAATAATTTTCATTATTATTATTATTATTTTTGAAAACTCTCGTGACGTAAAACAAAAGGAAATTTTTTTCTAACAAACAAAATATGATTTTAAATAAAATTTAATAATAATAATAATAAAAATAAATTCCCAAACAAAAGAAGAATAGATATTTAAATTTTTTTCGTGGGGAGGAAGCGAGAGAGAGAGAGAGAGGGGGGTGGAAGGAGGGAGAGAGAGTAAAGTCGAATGTTTAATTTTGCGGTCAAATATATATAATATTCCTTTGAAGCGTATTTTTAATCCTTTTTTTTAAAGCTTTATTTATAAGTAAACCTAATTTTTTTTTTTTTTAAATCCGTGTTTTACAGTTTGCCAACAAAACAAAAAAAAAAAAAAAATTTTTTTTTTATTTTATGTTAAAAGGAAAAACTTTTTGTAAAATAAAAGAGAGAAAAAAAAAAACAAAACGATGAAAAGTTATAATAGTGGTGGTTTTTTTTTTTTTTTCTGTTGCCATTTTATATTTATTGTATATAAATCACGAAAAAGGAAAAAAGGAATGATTGACCAAAAAAAAATGGGAAAAAAGGGGGGAGGGAACAAAACAAAAGATTTAATTTTTTAACGCAAAAAAAAAAAAAAATTAAAAAGGATTTTGTTGACTTTTCATTCATTCAAAGTTTTTACAAAAAAAAAGGAAAAACGCAATTAGTCTTGGAAAAAAAAAATCATCATCATCATCGTCGTTAAAATTAAAAAGCAATAGATTTTTTTCGAAAATAATAATAATAATAAAAGCTTTTCAAAAGTAAACAAAAATTTTTTTTTTATTTTTTATTAATTAAAATTTTATTAAAGTTTTTATGTTTTATTAAAAAAAAAAAAAAATGTAACAAAAATTAACGAATCCACTTGTAAATATGCTTATTTTTATTAAACAAAATGGAGATTTGAAAAGTCGTTTATTTTAAAAACATTGGACGAGAGTTTTTTCTTTTTTTTTTTAATTAAATAATAATAATTAAATAACGATGTGTTTTTATCGAGACCGCCATTTTTTTTAACGTTGTTATTCGAAAACAATATATATGTAAAAGTTTTTTTTTTTTGCACCTTTCCCGAATTAAAAACAACCGGTTTAAATAAAGCGGTAAAAATAATAATAATAATAAATTTATCAACATGTTATAAACGTAGCAAACACTAATTACGATATTATAGCTTTAACATTAAAAAAAAACACACACAATCATTATCATTATTATTATTATTATTATTATTATTATTATTATTATTATTATTATTATTATTTTATTTAAGTTATATTATAAAACGTGGAAATTATTATGGATTTTCTTTTTTTTTTTTAATATTTAAAAAATTTAATTTTTAAATCCACTTATGTTTATTTAAAAAGAGAGAGAGAGAGAGAGAGAAAGAGAGTGAACGAGAGAGAGAGAGAGAGAGAAAAAACCTTTTTCCCAATAAATAAAAAAAAAAGGAAAAAAATTTAATTTCGCAAATTTTAATATATTTTCACCTGTTCAAACAAAAAAAAAATAAAAAAAAGTAGTTTTAATTTATTATAATTAATTATATTTATTTAATTTAATTTTATTCTAATAATAATAATAATAATAATAATAATAATAATAATAATAATAATAATAATAATAATAATAATAATAATAATTTAAATAAGGCTTTTGATAAGAGACAAAAAAAAAACGTTTTTTTCTTTTTAATATTGATTTTGTACTTAAAGTGTTTGACGAAAAAAAAAAAAAAAAAAAATTATGCTTTATTATCCCCCTTTATAATTTTTTTAGATAATAATATCTCGATACATTTTTGAAATTTATGAAAACGAATTATCAATCATAACTTTTTTATTAATTTTTTTTTATGAAATGAATTTAAAAAAAAATTTATATAATTAATTACGAATGATTTTGCTTTCGTTACTAAATTACAATTTTTATATATAATATACGCGAGTATTTTTTTAAATTTTTATGCAATTTTTACGGCAGTAATAATAATAATAATAATAAATAATTTTGGAAAATGGTGGAAAATTAATTGAAGTATCCGCACCGGCGGAAAAACAACAGATAGCTAAGAAGCAGACTGGAAATTGAAATAGCCAAGATGTGGGGAACAAAAACAGAAACGATTCCGGTCATCGTGGGAGCATTGGGAGCCATACCTAATTTATTAAAAGAAAATTTGAACAAAATTATGAAGAAAATCGCGTTACGTGTAGGGTGGCTCACATTCCTCGGAAAATTTTATAACACCAATGAAATTCGTCAGGAATCGGTTAGAGACCTGTTTTGTGTTCCCAATTAATTTTCTGGCTACTTGTGAGGGCCTTACACATAATAGGAACATTTATTTTTATATAATTTACTTAATTTTCTCGTTTTTTGGTTTTGTTTCATTCTTATAATAAGATCTCTCCATTAAATTGGGAAAAGGGAGCAAATACCCTATTCATCCCTTAGCCGTTAAACAAAGTTGTGGACATGCTATAGCAGATGAATAGTCAACAGATCGATTGTGTTGATCTAGATACAAATAGTGGGCCTCAACATTACACAGGGAGATTCGGAACATCACTTCAGTAGCCAACCAGTAGGCAAATTTAATAGCATTGATTTCTACAACTAACACTTGAATTTTATATTGTGTTCTTATTATTTTTACTGCACTCGTATAAAAAATTGCATCAAGAATAATAAAAATTATATAAAAATCGTCTGCTAGTTTATCACGTGATAAATTGTAAACAACCACGAACCAATTAATAAACACATACAATGTAGAATTTGAAGCAATCATAAAAATAGTGTCAACATCAAGATCATGACACCTGTAAACGAACGCTTAAAAATTCAGACAAAAGTGATGTTAAAAAGTGATAATAATAATAATACAAAATCTCTTTTTTTAAAAATTTACAATCGGAAAATAACAATAGAAACCAAAAAAAAAAAAAAAATTTCCACAGGAAAACCGGAATTTAAAAAAAATGTGTGTGTGTGTGTGTGTGTGCATGTGAATGTAATTTACATTCTTTAGCTTTTATTCAAAGTTAATTTAAATACTAAGGAAAAGTTTTCCAGAAAAAAAAAAAAAGAAAAACTTTTTATTTTTATAATAAAACCGTCTAGTAATAAAAATAAAATTTCCTTTCGTAAATAATAATAATAATAATAATTAAATTTTAAATAATTTTTGTTTTTTAAATAATTACAATTTAAAAAAAAAGGGGAGGGAGGGGTTGGAAAAGTTATTAAATGTGGTAACGCGTTTAATTTATGAGTATAAATATTAATAATACAAGATTACAAAAAAAAATTTTTTTTTTATAAAAGTTCATAAATATTAAAAAAATTAAAAAAATGAAGTAAGTAGTAGTAGTAGTAGTAGTGGTAGTGGTAGTAGTTTATTTGGAAAAGTAGTGATTTATTATCTCGAGAGAGAGAGAAAAAAAAGGTTAAGGGTTAAAGGGTAAAGATTAAAAAAAAAACGTGTGGCGTTTGTAGTTAGTTTTTTGTAACGATCGATATTTTTTTTTATTGATTTATTTTTTTAATGATTAAATTTAAATCACTAAAAAAAAAGGGAAAATTTTTTAATTTAAAAAGAAAATGGGGAGGTAGTAGAAGGAAAGAATTTAAATGAATCGAGAAAATGTAATCTCCGAATCCGTTCGTGGTCGCAGCAGCAGGAGCAGCAGGAAAGATTAAAAATGTCGGTTGATCAATTTGCGACTTGCATATCAATTAATATCGAAACCAAAAAAAAAAAAAAAATTTTTGTATTTAAAATGCGTGACGACGACGTCGACGACGACGACGACGACGACGACGACGATTCGTCATTTTCTTTTTCTTTACGTTCGCAAATTTATATTTTTACCAAAGGGGTAGGTGAAGGGGAAGAAGGAGTAAGAGACGAGGGAAATGTTTAAAATATACAAATCGATTCATCGAAAAACGATCGATAAAAAAAAATTGGGGGGGGGAGCGAGGAAAATTATTTAATGAAAATTTCGTGGAAAAAATAAATTTTCATTAAAAAAAAAAAAAGAAAATTCGATATCATATTAAAAACGATAAAGCGTAAAAAATATTTAAAAAAAAAAAAAAAAAAAAAGGAAAATTTTTTGGACAGGGTTCTCGAGTTATAAAAGCACACTTTGCCAGGAAAATAATTTCCTCCTTCTCCTCCTCTTCCTCCTCCTCCCCCTCCCAAAAAAAAAAAAAAACACAAACATGAAAAATCTAACGCCCTCGTTTTTTCTTTCAATAAATTACTTTTTTTTTTTTTTTTTTTTTTTAAAGTGGAAATGGGGGGTGGGGTGAGAATAATTTACGACATTATTTTATATATCACGTTCATGATAATTTTATTTTTTTCCCGGAAGTTTTTTCTTTTTTTGTGCAGAGATTTAAAACAGGTAAAATAAATTTTATTATTATTATTATTATTATTATTATTATTATTATCATTAATTTTAATCGCGACAATTTTTTTTACGCGAACGAATTTTCCAGTTTTTTATTTTAATTTATAAAAAAAAAGTTTTCTTTTTTTGCTCGATTTTTTTTTTTTTCTAAACGAATTCACAAAAAAATATCAATGGCGGTTTATTTATTATAAAATGTGAGTCGCGATTCTTTTTTTTTTTTTTTTTTAAAATTTTCTTTTTGTAATTGTGAAATCGCTTTTTCTAGAGATGAACAGCAAAATCATTTCCGGTTTTTTTATCTTCTCATCTTTTCCCTTTTTCGATTTCTTGTAATATTTTTTAACGTTTCTTAGTGTGCCATTTTAGTTATTCGTAGTTTTATTAGTTTATACCGTTTTTAAAAAGTGTTTTACGTTAATATCCGGTTTGTTGACTGTTTGTTAGTATCCGGTCACGTGGTACGTATTCGCGTCAAATTTTCCACGTTCGGTGACGTTTTCAGATTAGCGCGTGATATTTTTTTTTTTTGTTGTGTAAGAAACATTTATCTGTCATCATCCGCGTAATTTTTTTTCTCTTATCATTATTATTATTATTATTATTTAAAAAAACGTTAATTATAAATTTTTTCGTTTTGTTTTTTGGACGTTTTTTCAAAAGTTTGCAAACCTGTAAATTTTTATATTTATTATAACGGTAATTAAATTATGATAAATAATTTAGGTTTTATATTTTCGAATGTGAAAGGTGAAATTTAAAATTGGCAAAATTTCAATTTCGAAATTGTGTTCATTAGTCTTCGATTTCCGGTACGAAAAAAAAAAATTTTCCCGTTTTGGCAACCTTTGAAAATAATAATAATAATAATAATAATAATAATAATAATAATAATAATAATAATAATAATAATAATAATAATAATAATAATAACGAGATTTTTATTCTTTAAAATAATTTCAAACGATTCAAAAATTTTTTTCTTTTTTTTTCTTTTTTGCTTCGTTGCACTTTTGACGTAAGTTTTCATAACAATTATGAAAATATATAATTATTTCTTAATTACGTTTAATTTTCATAAAATTATTTCCAAAAAAAAAATTTTTATATTAACTAAAAAAAAAAAAAAATGTCCGCGATGTTAAAAACGCGCAAAAATAAAAAAAATTAAATTTTTAATGGTAAATTTTTGACATTTATTTACAAAACTTTTCGTTTTATTATTATTATCATTATTATCCAACTTGGATCATTATTAACTTTTGTAACTGTTTTAAACATTGATGATGTAGTAAGTAAAAAATTTTCCAACATGTAAATGTAGAAAGTTTTCATTTTAGTTTAACCAAACAAATACTTATATAACTAACTATCAATTAAAAAAAAAAACAATTTTTTAAAAACTGTCGGAATTCTTTAATAACAAATTTTTTTACACACTTAATTAAAAGGTATAAATTTTAAACAAATTCCTTTAAATATCATCCCCCTCCCCATCATTATTATTATTTTCTAAAACTTTTTACTCCCCCTCTCTCCCTAAGAAATGTTTGATTTTTAATCTAAAAAAAAATTTAATTAAAAAAAAATAAAAATTTAAACTTGTTGCTCACATCATCATCATCATCATCATTCATTTTAACACTTTTTCCTTTCCGTTGTTGAAATCCAACCGACAAAATTTTTTTTTTTTTTTTTTAATTTCCGCCGAAAAAAGGTTTAAAAGGTTTAAAAAAAAGGTTGAATTTTATTTTCCCTGTAAAATAAATGCATCGTGAAATCGTTAAAAAAATTTTTTTTAAAAACTGCGATGATAAAATTTAATTTTATAACTAATCCGTAGGAATCAATTTCTAACACGTTTATTAATTATTATTATTATTATTATTATTATTATTATTATTATTATTTAAATAATTACAATGGCGCAAATATAATTTCAATCAAAATAATTTGGCACATTTTAAAAATTTTTAACGGAAGTAATAAAAAACGTTGTTAATAATTTAACGAAAGCTCAAAAACAAAGTTACAATTAAATTAAAGGCTCTCTCTCTCTCTCGCCCTCCCCCCTCCTCCCACTCCATCTCCCACGTTCTACGGTCCGATGGGGGTTAACCCTTTTGTAACGTTTGAGAATTTAACTTCAATAATAATAATAACTGTTATGAGATTCTACAAGAGTTTTTAATTATTAATTTTCTCAACTTTTGGTTTATTTATTATTAAAAATTGATGTTACGAAGGTTTCGAACGGATGTAATAATAATAATAATAATAATAATAATAATAATAATAATAATATTAATAATAATAATAATAATAATAATTCACTGGGTACGGAGATTAAAAGAATATTAAAAGGGAAAAAGAAAAAAAAAGAGAAAAATTTTCCGCCATTAAAAAAAAAAACGGGGACGGAGGGAGGGTGGTAGATAGAAAATAGAGTTCAAACGAATCGATAATTTTTAAAAATTTTTCCCGCCAAAATTTTATTTTGGTTACTACTGATGGACGTGAAATTTAAAAAAAAAATTTTTTCTTATTATTTTGTTAAATTTCCGGTAAAATTTTTTTTTTTTTATCAAAGGAGGAAAAAAAAAGGAAAAAAGATTTTTTTTATTAAAAAATCGATTTAACCGGGGATTTTTACCGTCTTTTTTGGAAAAAACGAAAAGAAAATTTCGAAAAAAAAATAATAATGATAATATTTAGTGTTTCATGTTTTTTTTGTATTCAGGTAGAGAAAATTCTAGAAAAAAAATTTTTTTTTCTTACCTGTTGTACATGAGAACGTCAGGCCTCCAAATTTTATTCGGTGTTATTCTTAAATCTTTTACGTTTCCATAAAGTGATTCATTCCATCGAAGATTGTAATCGTTCCATTCCTGTTAAAAAAAAAAAAAAAACAAAAAAAAATCATTATTACTCTATAGCAAAATCTTATTAATGCTAGCAAAAAAAAAAGTTTTTATTTTTTTTTTACATCCCGGGAAAAATCCAAAACCGTCATATTGGAAAAAAGAAAGTGAGAAACGTTTGGAATGAGAATTTTTTTTTTTTTTTTTTAATTCTCCAGGGCTTATTTTTTATCCGTGTGGTAGGAGTAGTAGCGAACGGCGTTCGAACGACAATGCAATTCATTTCATTTAAAATCCCTCTGGTATAAACTGGACATAACGGAAGGTAGCCTCTAGAAACTCACGTTCACACATATCCCCGTGTCGAGAGAGTATCGGGAAAATTCCCACGCGGATTTAACGAAAGAAATTTTTAAAGGTCATCATCATCATCATCATCTGGGATATGTGTTTACACTGTCTCGTCCATGTTTTTTTATTATGTTAATATTTTTGTTTTTGTTGCACAGGAAATTAGGTCACCGTTAAACAATCAGCAACATCTTTCACCTAAAGCGTTTGTTTGTTTGTTTGTTTCGATAGACAAACGAATGAAATTGTATTTCACGTACGCTACGTACGATCGTGTTTTAAATCTTTAAGATAAAATGATGCTGTATGAAAGAGAGAGAGAGAGAGAGAGAGAGAGAGAACATGTTTGAAAGTTTTCTTGTTGTTGTTGTTGTTGTCAGACGTTTTAGAAAATTTTTTTTTAATGACGAAAAAAATTTATTGCGTTTTTCCCTTCCCCCTCTCCCTCCCATCTTCCCCGTTCGAGTGTTTTTTTTTTTTTGTTTGAATATAAAATGAAAAATTAATGTTTGCTCTTCGTGAAAATTGCTGTGTCTTTTTTTTTTTAAAAAGCAGCCGATAATTAACAAACATTTTAACTTTTTTTTTTTAAACTAAATTTCTCGTTAAAAAAAAAAGTCGTAAAAATTATTTATTTATTTATTTTATATGTTTGAGATTAAATAGGGAATTATTTTGCTACGATTCAATTAATTTTTTTTTGTAACACTTGTCATCATCGTCAAGAGACCAATGTAGGTTATGTTAAACGGGAAATCACCGTTGTCTAATTACACGTTTTTAAATTAATTTCAACCTTATGTAAAAAAAAAAACCGTTACATGTTTAACTTACGTAATTTTTAAATTATAAATTTTTCTTTTAAAAATTAATTTATCAAACAAAAAAAAATTTTTTTTGCTGTTGTTCAGTCCGTAAAATAAACAAAATCGGGGAAATCTACACAAACGCACACACACGCGGCACACAAAAAAAAGGAGAAAATTTTATTTATTTTTTTTTTTTTTATCCCTGCCCTCCGGAAAAAACATTTTCCGACCCAATTTTCAATTTTTCGGGGTCGACGATTAATTACATGTAATTAAATTGTAATTTAATTAATGTGTCGCGCATTTTACTACTTTTTGTTTAAATAAAACAACTAGTTTATAGTTTATACATGTTTTACTTTTACATAGTAAAATAATTTAATTATTAACAATACCGAAAGGGTGTAGGATGGCGGTGGCGGTGGTGGTGGTGGTGCAAGGCGGTGTGATGGTGGTAGTAAATACATTTTCTGTCTTTTTATCATTATTATTATTATTATTATTATTTAAACATCTAACGAATTTTTAATTAAATTTTTTTTTACTCATTCGTTTTTATTTTACACAAAAAAAAATTATTTTATTTGTAAATTTTTTGCGGCGAAAGAGAGAGAGAGAAAAAAAAATGGGAAAAGAAATTTCTATAAAAAAATTATTAATTTTTAATTTTCTTACTCGCAATATTATTATTATTATTATTATTATTATTTAAAAGTAAAAAAAAAATTTTTTTTTTAAAAAGAGATTTAAAGATTCAAATGTCGTTTCGAAATTTTTTCCTTGCTTTTTCTAGAAAAAAATTTACTATCTATTATTGACAACTGAAATATAAAAATTGAATATTATATCAAAACTTGATAAGTTTGTGAAAATATTAAAAATTTTCTTTTTTTTTTTTTTTTCAAAAGAGATATTTTAAGTTATTGATTTTCAAATTCGAAAATTTAAATTTACAATCATTGTAAAACTTAATCTTTCTCCCTCTCCTTCCCTCCCCTCTTCTCCCCCGGAAAAAAAATTTGAATACCGGAAACGATAGCAAAAAACTAACCGCAAAACATATTTAGTTAAATTAAACGTAAATTATAATTTATATATATAATATTTATATTTATTGTTTTATCACGTCACGATTTACCAATAAATTTTTTTTTTTGTTAATAAAACAATTTTTTTAAAAACAAACAAACGTTATCGCAACACACTCATACATCTAACTGTTTCCGGTTTAATTTTTCTTTTTAATGTACGATTTGACAAAAAAAAAATTTACAACGTTTTTTCCTAATTAACTTATTTCGTATATATTAATTAATTTTATCAAATTTTATTTGTCTTATTCCCGGAAAATTTTTTAAGTCGGAAAAAAAAAATTTGTTATTAAAAGTTTGTTTGTAATAATAATAATAATAATATTAAAATATATCAGGTTATTATAAGAAATAATAAATCATTCGAATTTTTATTTGATTTATTTAACGGTTTTTTTTGTGGTTTGTTTATAACAACATTCGTTTGTTAAAATCGTTGCGTGTTTGTTTTATTACCGGTAAAATTTTTTTTTTTTTGTTAAAAACAACAACAACAACTTAATCTTATAGATTTTTATTTTATTTTTTTTAACCTTTTTTTTGTTTTTAATACCTTCGGGATCTCAAATCAAACTTTACGAGAATAAGAAAAAAAAAAAAAAATTTTATTACTTCGTCGGGTAAGCAAAAAATTTTTTTCATTCGTTTCGATTCGATAACATAATCATTTTTATTTAATCGTTTGTTTCCGGTCTGTATCGCCCACGTTCAAAAAAAAATTAGGTAATAATAATAATAATAATAATTATTACACCCTTAACTAAAATTAGCACCGATACCCATAAACTAATGATTGGCTCTGATTTGTTTTTAAAAAATCAAACAAACAAACAAACAAACAGCACACGTGAAATTTAGTTATAAACAATCGTTTCTCTCAACACGTCAAACATTATTTTATTTATTTATTTATTATTATTATTATTTAAACATTTCCTGTTGTTAACAAAATCCATTACATTCTTAATTCGATAAAAATTTATTTAAAAAAAGCCTGATGACGTCATATTTTATAAATAATAATAATTATTACCATCGATGGTAATTAATGTAAAAAATGTTTTTTTTTGTTGCTATTATTAAAATATTATTATTATTATGTGTACAAAAAAAAAAAAACAATTTCCTCAATTTTATTTCCAAAAAGGGGGTGGATGAAGGGAGGGGGAAGGGGATTTGCATTTTAATATGTTTTTATCAAATTAAAAAAAAATATGAATTAATTTAACGTGTGAAAAATGTGATGATGATGATGATGATGATTGAAATAACTACAACAACAAAAAAATTTAATGATGCGAAAAAGGGTTTCGAAGATTTTTTTTTTTTTTAATAAAAAAAAAAAAATTTATTATTTTTTGTTTATTGTCGTCGTCGTCGTTATACCTGTTCTCTATCTTTATCTCTCTCTCTCTCTCTTTCCTCCCGATGAGATTTATTTTTAATACCGATATCGCTTGAAAACACATTTCTTTCTCTCTCTCACTTTTTTTTTTTTTGCTAAAGTTGTTAATGAAATTGTTTTTACGCGTGTTTACAATATCACGTGATAAACAAAACAATTTAATAACGCGATTATTTTATTTTATTTTAAATAAATAAATAAATTTTTTAAATAATTTTTTTAGAACGAATTATATTAATAAAGAAAATTTTAATAAAAATAATTTTTTAATCCCATTTTATTAGGATTTTATTATTATTATTATTATTATTATTATTGATATTTTAATTCCTAATCTATATTGGGGGGGGGGGTTTAACCATTCGTTTCAGGTTTGTTGATAAATTTTTTTAAATTAAATGTGAAGGGTGTTGTTTACAATACAATTTCCGGTTCGGTTTCTTACGATTGCGGTTTGAATCTTGGTATTCTCACAATGACCGAAATCATTTCCGGTTTTTCATCCCGGCTATTTTCAATCCTTTTTTTCTTTCGTTGCGGTGTTTTTCTCCCCTCCCCCCACCCGTACGTTTCCCTTTACATTTAATACTATTTTATATGTATTTAGAAATCGTAAAAAATTCATAAATAAACAAACTCAGCCATTTTGTTTTTATAAAATTAAAATTAACAAACAGTTTTGCGTTCTGCTACGTAAAAATTTTTAATATAAATAAAAATCACGTGACGTTGAATGACACGTAAGCGGAAACGGATTTTTTTTGTTGTCAAAACAAAACGAAAATCGATCGAATCGATATCGTTTTGTTGTAAATCATTTGTTTAAACAGACCCGGAAAACAAAAAAAAAAAAAAATTTCGAGAGAGAAACGAGTGATGACGTCACGTGCGCGTCGTTATTTGTTCATTGATTATATTTAAATAAACTTTAACGTAATTCATAATAATAATAATGATACTACTCGTGGTTAATTATACCTTTTTTGGTGCAATTGTCATCCTTTTCAAAGAGCTTTAGTATTATTATTATTATTATTATTATTATTATTATTATTATTATTATTATTATTATTATTATTATTATTATTATTATTATTATTTAATGCTCTTTTTTCATAAAAATAAAATGAATTATTTTTTAATATTAACGATTTTTATATTAATAATAATAATAATAATAATAAAAATAAATAAGAATAAGAAAAAGTTTTTGAATTTAACTTATTTAAAAAGAGAGAAAGAGATAAAGAGAGAAAGAGATAAAGAGAGAGAGAGAGAGAGAGAGAGAGAGAGAGAAAGGTTTTTATCAAATTTGATTAACGAAACGTCAAAGTTAAAGAAAGAGTTTAATAAAACTTTTAAGTATTTCTT